ATGAATATAACCATTAATTGGATGACAATCACTGATAGGAGTGACGCTACTCTTGTTGGTAATAAACATGCAAACCACTGGTGGCTTCGCCTACAGTATTTGGTGACCTATAAGTATAAATAATTCGCAAAATAAACACTATTGTTATTGATAACATAACAATATACTTAAGAATGAATGAATCGATGAATGGATTGTCACTCTATGCCATCAATTGTCGTCTTTTTTATTAATAGTATTATGTGTTTAATACTGTAGTTATCACATCAATGAGAGACATATATAACTGAAATTATAGCCAATTTATAGATTAGATTATATGACGGGTTGTATAATATTATGGGTACTACTGGTAGCTAGGTAGTATGGGTATTAGTGGTAACTAAAGTGACGGGGAGTATATAAGTTAGTGTATGAATGAATGGTAAGTATAAGGAATATATGAATACTGTAAGTCTTCCTTACACTTGACTTTTAGCTGAATTGCTAACAATTTATGAGTTTATTATTTGTGAGTATAGAACCGATTGTATGGATAGACAAATAAACAGGGTTATCTCAGTTGTGTGTATAATTCATGAGAAATTAATTGATTCGTTACCAGAGTTTAGAGAAATGATAACAAATATAAAGACAAACCTTTTTGTCATAATAATCGCAAACTTTATCGCCTAACAATCCACTGCTAATTGGCTTATCATATAATATCTGTTATTAAAACTTCGTGTGATGTATAACTTGTATAGTGTTTCCATCGCTTATTATATTTGTTGGCAACGCTATCGCCGATAGTATTGTGATATATAAACACATTTGAATAATACATTTACAGACATATAAAGTGCTTGTACTGTATATACGGTATCAAAACTAAACATATAATAAATGTTCACTTATTTCGAGGTATGGATTGCCTCACAATCCGCGCAATGACTGCCAACTGACTCTATATTTGTCGCTTTTTTTCAAAGTATAAAACTGTTTTGTAAATTTTTGGAGCTGAGGTCTCTCGGAAGCTCCGGCTCTCCTTGACCGCAAAGACACCACAATGCGGTGTCTTATGTATGACCCCTATAGTCTATGGTTATTTATGCCGTATACTCCCCCTAAAGGCCTTTCCCCAGTGCGCAGTTGACTTTTTGTGTATCCACTTTCTCTATGGTATAAACTTTATTCTGGGTCTCAGACCCCCGAAAATATCTGCCCCATAGTTGCCAGTCATACAGGAATGACCCCGCAATCAGTCACATGAATAGTTAAGCTCATAATCAGTGTGTGTTTTATCGACTGATTAGCGCGTAAGAGGTTTGGGGAGGAAATGCCTGCTATTATGATATAGTTTTTAATTGTGTATAAGAAATATGAGTCGATATTAAGGCCGACATTCAATGAGAGTGTGTTGAGACCTGTTATTGCATTTTGAAGGAGAAATGCTTAGCAAAGGGTCTGAAAATAATACGATTCCGTCAGTGAATTGTGAGACCGATCCCACTATTGGCACAAACTCTGTGCACCTAAACCTGATTTTCGTGTTAAGGCTATTGGAAAGTCTATTCACAATTGTGTCAATACGAGTGGTTAGAGACATCTGTTTTCATAAATTGACGAATTTTCAGGAATTTCTCTTCAAATATGTTAAGAGAAAAAAGTTTTGTTACTCAAGAATTTATCTCTAATTAAAAGTAATTGCATTTTTCGAGTTACTATTAGTTTTTCCCCAATCATTGACATTAAAATACTTTTACAGAAAACATGTTAATCGCTGTTATTAATGGAAATGTGTTTATTATTTGAGATATCCTTCCCTACAATCTGTGTTGAAATAACCAGAACTTGAAATTTAAAAATTTGTTTAAATAATTATAAACATTAGGGAATGGCATAATTGATAAGATATTACAAAATTATATTTGAAAGTCAGATATTTATAGTATTGTATGCATAAGAATATTATTGAATAAATTATTTATTTATAAAAATTTCTGAATTGATTGACATTTTAATCCAATGTTAATAATAAACAGTATCTCTAATGGGGACAGTATTGGGTCAGTAGTTGATTATACGGCAAACAAATGATGTGACAATCCATGCGATAACTTATTAACCCTTTTCATAACTCATTATATTTTAATATGAGGTTTGAGTGGATCTCCTTGAATACAAGCTTTTATTTAGAAATATAATACCACAAAAACTCATTTATATTATATTATTATTAATAATTATAAATTAAAAGATTTAAATATTATAATCAGAATGGTTTTGAAATGACTATTAATTATTTCGCAATTTAAATGTTTGACTACAAGTAATCTATAGTTATGTTAATCATAAATATATAAATAAAAGTAAATTAAATACAGGGTAATTAAAATTATCATAAACTACTGAATCAAGCTCTTAACGAGTAATAGTAGCCGTCATTCGGAAATAACAGAAATAGAAAGCAATGCTATTCTATGCAAAAGCAATGGTTTATCGATGATAAGAGTGTTAACCAAAACATTTACTTTAATAAATCATTTCCCGTTTTAATTGACTCACAAATAGTCCAAAAGTTAGACTCGAGAGAGAGAGAGAGAGAGAGAGAGAGAGAGAGGTCTGATCTTATCCATCAATTTCCTCGCATTTTGTTATACAATAAAAGTCTTTTAGTCTAAAAGTCTAACCAAAACACACACAGTGTCTCAGAATACAAGAATTATAGTGAAAATTAAAATGATTTCATTATTTAATTATTTATTTAATATACAATTCATATGAATGAAAAAGTTTGTGAATAAATATTTATTAATTTAGTGATAAGTATACAGTATTTGCAACAAAACTAATCTCGAGACTCGAGTAACACTTATCACTCGGTCTATGAAATCAACAAAAGTTATGAATAAATTGATGACTAATTTTGTTGTTGTGTTTTGCGTTCACTTAATATGCGAACAAACTTTTCAGACCCCGTGCGGCCAACCGGGCGTCCCATTCAAGGGATTCATTACATATTTACCCGCAAATACTACTTCACCACCGAATGGACAGTCTATTCCGGGCACTACTATTCAATATTACTGTAACTCTGACTCAATATTATATGGCACCGAAAGGAGACGGTGCTATCCCCAGGGTTATTGGGACAGATACCAGGGTGTCACGCGAGTCAGGTACTTTGACTGGGTCCACGATGTCAGTCGATGTGAGCTATCGAACTGAGTGTTTCTGAACTAAGTATGTATACTGCTGTTGAAACTATGGACAAAGTGCACACCGACAACTCATCAAACTTTCCATTCACTGGAACTCCAGTTCAGACATAAGCTACACATCAAAGCCATTCGGCTGTCGTTCCGAAGATCTTTGGGATCCAATTCTGGCGGTTATAGTCTTTATATCGGAGAGAATGGTAGGTCTGAAGAGACCACTGGATCCAGTCTATTGATTGTCGATAAGTCGAGGGCCAGTGAACAGGTAGCCAATCGGGACGTGTATATACACCACTGCACCGGTATCATTGAGGCCGACTTTTTGCGCATAAATTATGGAAAATCTGAAAACACGTTTGAATTGATTTTATGTGAAATACAAGTCTTTACCGTCGATTACGACAGCGGCAGACGGTGTGGTTCGCCGGACGTACCCCTCAATGGTTGGGCGAAGACTCACTTCCACAACAATACTCTCGTCGCTCAGTTTGGTTGTAATTTCGGTTATCAACTGAATGGTGGGCACGAAATCCGGTGCCAAACCACTGGTCTTTGGTCGGCGTTAACACCATTTTGTGCTCTAAAACAAGCCGTGAGTCACAAAAATAAGTCCCGAAAAGGGTTCAAAGGTATCAAAAATAATGGCATAACGTGTGAGTTATTAGCAGACAGGAACGGGAGATTCAATTTCACTGATAACCAGAACCCGGGCAGTCGTGCTCTACTTATCTGTAATAAAGGGTTTAAGATATCTATAAAAAGCACCGAAGAATACACCGAATGTCTGTCGACTGGATTCTGGAGTCATTTCGCTAACTATAGCATCAAATGTATTGAAATTAAATGCAATTTTAATGATTTGAATAACATTTCAAATGTGGGAAAAATTATCTCTAAAACTACTGAAGAATATGCGAAATACTCGACGGAAGTGGAGATTCATTGCAATAACTCTTCGGTAATCTATCGAAGAATTTGCGGAATAAATGGCTTTTGGGTTAAAAGTGATGATATGGACATACCAGTCCCAGTAGTCGCCGAGAGTTGCCATCCATTCCTGTAAACGACTTCTCGATTATACAAATCAAACATAACTTCGGGAACAATAGGCGGAGGACTGACACCGCATCCAAAACTATCAACAGTTCATATAATCCGCAATCGTTTTACAGCAACGATACCGAAGTGGAGACCCGGTTCTCGTCGAGTGTAGTGCTGGGAACGGGTGGTACGGCTCGCAAGACATCCATTATACACACGTATAGCGAACCCGTGGACATGGATATCACGGGACAGTACTTTCTGGAGGAGTCCATGAGTGAGAATATCTATTCGGAACCATTTAGTGGTGATGAGGACAATCAGATATACAATTACCGGACATTTAAACAGTAAAAACGTGTTTCCCGTCGAGTGTGACAAACAATGACTGAGCGGAACAGCCGTTCCCATTCCGGGGTTAAACAATTATGAATAAAAACATACAAATAACATATTATTAACTCTGAAAAAAATCGATTCATATTTTATTTGAGCGAATAATTAGAGTTAACGAGAGTTTGCTTTAATATCGAGCGAATCGATAGTAAACTTAAAAAAAGAGTTATTTATAAAGAAATTTAAAAAACAATTCAAAACTAATATTAAATACAATATAAATAAAATAAGAAAAGCTGCGAAACAATGGATAAAGAGAGAGAGAAAAACATTAAATAAATTGAAAACAAATTTGTATATGACTTGAAGTCATGTGAAAACTATAATTAATCATAAAAACAATTTAAACTCTAGTTTTTGTCGTGTGAATCGGTTTTTAGTTTATAAACTACTTTATGAGACAATCACTTATGTTGTCATTTGTATAGAATCTTAAATAAAATGCAATTAGAATTCAAAATGTAATTCATATCTAAAAAACAAGAGTTTTGTTTTACTAACAAATTATGTGTTTTAGTGTTTTTGTTGTAGTTTTTAAATTGCGTTCAATATATGAATGAATTATAACGAGTAGTCGCCGGTCGGGCCGTCGGTGTCCGCGAGCCACGGATGTTGCAGACAGTCCTTGGCCTTTGCCCTCTTGAGCGGGTCGTACGCCAACATCGGCATCAAGAAGTCGGCGAACTGTTCCGCTTTGGAGACACTCCAGTCGTACTTCTCGGTCAACACTTCGCATAAACCCCACGGTTTTAATGAGTGAATGTTTCGCAGTTCGCCTGAAGAAGTCACCATAAGATCAGATTATAAGACATTAATACCTATTCATAACTATTATAACTCTGGAACCGATTATCAACACAATTGTCTATTCGTGTCCACAATCGATACAAGAGTCTCAATGGTATCTTAAAACAGATTCACGCAATGAATGCAAACCTCTTTTATTGAAGAACTCTCTGGAGTAGCGACCGGTAAACGCGATGTTCTTCGGGATGGGACCCAAGAGTTCGATGATATGCGCCAAATGGTCGTCATCTCGAGAGTATTCTTCCGCAGAGTGAGGTTCGAAGAGATAGTCTCCGGTCGCCAACTCGAATGCCATGCAAGCCGTCGACCAGATGTCTGCGGGCGAGCCATAGCCGGCGCCCAATATTACTTCCAAACACCTGTACTGACGAGTTTGGATGTCTTCAGTGAAGTGATGATCCTTTAAGTGACAAATCGTGTTATTTAAGAGTTAAGCATATTTTGTGTGTTAATGTTAAGACACAAATTGATCACTTAATGGGATTAATAGATAAAACAACGTCAGATAGACATACCTCCCAACAGGCGTTCCCAAGATCTGCGATCTTGACATCAATATCACAATTTTCGTGCGACGGATCAGGCGAGTGATCCATCATTTTTTGTTGATCTGTTGGCCATACAAACACACATTGAATAAGAACAAGAGTTTTAAGACAAAAAACGTGTAAATACCGGGACAACTGGCCACTCGTCTAATACCAGATTCTTTGCATTTTTGGTAATTAGTAACTAAAGCGCTTTCAGACCTCTCTAAACGGTTCCGGGCGCTCGACGTCTCACTAATGTTTACGTTATCCACTCCGAGGGCGTCGCTGTCCTCCACCGTAATCCTGGTGTGCGGATAGCGGTGTCCGTTGCACATGTCTGAACCCGTCACGTGATTCGATGGGTACGCCTCTGAGGCCTCTTCCACCTCCTCCTCGTCCACACAGCGCAGCCGTTCGGCGCCGTTTCGGTGGTGAACGACACCGCAGTCGTCCTCATCGGTGGGCAAACCGTCGTATTCGTAGGGCAGTCGCGGACAGGAAGACCCGCCGGCCGGGCCGGTAGTCAACTGTTCCCTGAGTTCCACTTCTGCCAACTGTTGCATTTGGATCTCTCGAATTTCCGCCACTTTTTTCGCTTTCTTTTTCAACTTTTTCTTCTTATTCTTCGACATCTTTGTGGCCGTCGACGGACCTAACAGTTCCTTCGGGGCGGTCGAGATGAGTGATCCGGGTAACTTGACTCCCATTTGTTGCCACTGGTAGGCCTCGTTGGCCAGTCGTCTCACGTACGACTCGTCCACAGTTAACAGTATGTTCTCGGGCTTAATGTCGGTGTGAATGATCTTGCATTTTGTGTGCAAATACTCCAAACCCTCTAAAACCTGTGTCCATACAAACAAATAGTTAGGGCTCCGGCACATAAAGCACTGGTATATCACTTCAAATACCTGTCGTATTATTCGCTTAACATTAGTGAGAGGAATGCCCTCATAATTAGATCGGATAATGAGTTTCAATAGATTACAGCCCAACACCTCGAATACCATACAAACATCTATAAGAAAACCAATAATTGTTTTAATTAGTGTTAAAAAGTGTTAAAATCCTATCAAATGACTGACGGGTTCCGTTAACACCACTAATCTTGAAGTCGTCTAACAGGCGGACCACTCGGTGCCCGTACGGGTCCTGGGAATCACTTTCTCGTACCTATAGATTAGGCGAACAAAAATGTTAACAACTTTTCACACATAATTTGAAGTAACAAAAAATCAATTTAAAAGCCGAAAACAATTTCACACAAAAAACAAAATAACATTTTTAGGATTGTCTCTGGAAATAGCAATGAAATGCTTACACTTTTAAGTAATTTTATTTCATCGATCGCTGTCTCCGTATAATGTGATGCGCTTTTGACACATTTTAGGGCAACAAAGCGTTTGTCACTACAAAAAATATAGAAAATACAAAAAACACGACATTAGATGACAACAAAAGACTCGTTCACTTAAAACCATATGTCGAGTGATTAATGGATTTTTTTGGCGCAGAAATGAATTATTATTAATGTGTAGAATAAGAGGCGACAGAGAAATTCAAAATATTGTCAAATATATAGTCATAGACTAAGGAATGAATGAAATTTATTAAAAAATTTTCGCTCAAAAAAGGTATAAAAAATAGTGCAATAATTGTATGAAGAGATCAAAAGTTATATAAATAAGAAAATCAACTGAAGATTAAGTACACGACAAGAATGTCATTAATTTCAGCCAAAATGAGCCACAAATTCAGGCAATTTGTTATTTTCTCGTTAAGTGCAGAGAGAGAGAGAGAGAGAGTTGAGAGGAAACATAATTACTGCCTATAAGAGGGAGTAAACCGAAAGACAATGCAATGAAGTGAAAGATAGACTGAGAGTTAGAGTTAATTATGTATAAGTGGGTCAGACATGACATGTCATGTGTACGTACGTGAGGTCCCAACAGAGCCATACGGTGGAGAAGTGGCCCCAACCGAGCTTCCGTACGACACAATAGCGGTTGTTGAAGACGTCGCTGATCTTGACGGGATGGTAGCCACCCTTCACGTAGTCCTGCGGGTCCTCCTGTTCGTCATCGCCATCCGAACCCATCAGCTCCTCGTCCTCCTCCTCCTCGTAGAGACCAGTCATCGGCGGACTTTTGTTGTCTTTTCTGCTCATTTCCCCCACAAAGACAAACACAACGATAAATAAACGCATAAATCATTTGTTGAGTGAAAAGGAAATTGATTTTCAGCGCAAATAAAAAATTGAGAGAAAAAACTTTTATTTTTACTCAACACATAATACTATAATAACGCAAAACTGTGGTCTATATTTGAGTGCAAAAAACAAAAAGGCAACTAAAACCGAAAAACAACCAAAATTTATGGCTTAATAGAGAGATAAGAGAGAGGTTTTGGGTGTCGGTGCCAATACTCACCGCCACAACTGCGGCAACAGTCGGGGCATTGGAGGCAATGGCGGCAATAAATCTCTACTATCGCTGATATCACACACTATTTTATTGAGATCACAATCGCTTGAATCGCTATCTCTATTATCACAATAAGGAGGTATTTCTAGACGTCTTGGGCTCCGATCGGTCACTATCTCACTGTCTATACAACCAGTGCTTTGGACACTATATTCCGTGTCTCGCGAGTCAACACAAGTGTGGTATTTGTGTTGCATTTGTTGGAGGGCTCTCTCGCGCGGGTGTATATCACGAGCGCCGACACTATTACCACAGTTAGCGCTATCACTAAAGTAGTTGGCATTAGTTGACGGGTATGGCGACTGATAGGCGGCGGCGCCCGACACTACACCACCGCCAGCGTTAATCACCGGTAAGTGACGGCGTATGGCGGGCCGGGGGTTACGTCTGACCGCCCGTTGATCGGTAGGCGACGGAGAGGGCCTTTTGATGGGCGATGAGTCCAATTGGAGTAATTGTTCAGAAAGTGACGGCTCATTGTCTGATACATACAAAACGCATAAGATTTTAAACCCATATAAAAAGCCACTATTTATTTATGCATTCAATTGATTACTCGCTTTTTGCATGAGTTGAGTCGGTTTCGCATTACAAGTGTACATCCCTTTGAATGGCAACTCAGCGCTTAAGTGTTTATAAGTCTCTTACAATTTCAATGAATTAGCATTTCTTGCGTTTTGTATAACAAAAAGCAAACACTAATGAAAAGAAATGCTTTTTGAAAAAAACTAAAGGAAGTGTACTCTATATATAAGATACGAGAAAATGCAATGAATTTTGTGAGTAAAGCCTTAAAAATCAATAGAGAAATACTCCACCGAAAGACACTTCACTGCAATGCAAACGCATTGAATCTATCGATAAGAGTGTGTGAAAAGAGTTTTTTCTTTCGGCAGTCAATGGAAAGCACTTAGAAAATGATGTTTTAATGTATTGATTGTAAATTTCAACGATAAGACGACTGACATTTCCTTTGATTACATAATACACAACACAAGTCCGAGATTCAATGTTATCTAAACCCTTTATTTACAGTCAATTATGATCAATGAAAACAACAAATCAATCATAATATGTGACAAAACCAAATGCAAATGCACCATAAGTACTATAATACAGTGTAGTTATGAATAAAATTGAATTTTTAATATAACGTTACGATAGAAATATCCATTTGTACTGTACTGTACTAAACAATGCAAACAATCAATTATCTATTTATAAATATTATGATAAAAGTAAAAGTAAAATATACCACAATCTAAATGATTATAATGACGATAATATCGATCAAAAAAGGATAATTCAATTACCGATAGAAAAAGGCATTGAATGAGAGGAAAGCCTTAAAAAGTCAAATATCAATATAAGTCTTACTCCGAGAGAAGCACTCGAATGGAAAGTAAACGCTTTTCTCAAGACATACGACAAGAGATGAGATAAATAAACGAAAATCGATATTAATTATTGAATATATAATACATTTTTGTAGCCTTTTCTCGCAAAAAATGCCTATTCTTTAGCCACACATAAAAAGCAACAAAAATATTCTTTAATTAATATGAAAAGCATTACAGAATTTAATTGAAAGCATACTTTTCTGTTACATTAAATAAATGTGTAAAATATATAATAGTAATAGTAATAGCAAAACGAAAATCCATTGCCAAATACACACACATAGTGAACATGTAATGATAGAAAACTTAATTTCCGAAATGTATTTAAAAGACAAATAAAACTATAATAAAAGTCTACTAATACTAAATAAACGAATATTAAAGGAATTTATTGCAAACTTGTCTCCCATTGTCAGACATATTAAGTAAAAATTTAATTTTATAGACATCTAGATATTTAATCCCAATAAATATCAGTCATTTATAAAGATTTATTTGAATTTATATAAAACTTAATTTAATTAAATCAAAGGTATAAATAAATAAACTTATGTAAATATGCATAAAATATAAGATATTTCGAAATTCAATATCAAATACACAAAAAATATTTACATTTCAATTCAATAAATTTGCAAACAAATACAAATGCAAATAGAAAGTAAGCCTATGTTTTAAATCTATAAAAGAGTTATATAAACATAAAATAAAAAATTATATGAAAATATGGGATCAAAACACATTTATTATGAAAACATGTAAAAGTCATAATTCCTGTAATCCTAGCGATAGTTTCAGTTAAATAATTATTTAGTTCGCCCATTGAATGGCTACACAAATCCCTACATAAGACTAAAAGCATTGAATGCATATTTTATGTGATTTTTTCATGTTATAAATATTTACAAATCTACTGACAGACTATGAAATGTAATCCTATGAAAGTGAACGCCAAATACAAAACCAATACAAATCAAATTTGCTGCAATCGATCGCTAAAACACAGAATATGAGTAAAAATATTCTCATTTGTCGATCAAATACCAGAAATAAAATACAAATATCGTACAAATAAAACTAATCAATTATATAATATCCCTACATCTAGAATCCTAGAAAATCAATTTAAAAAACAATTTTATTGACAAATACTTCAAACATAATAACAATTTTCGGTTATATAGTAGAGTAGGGCATCGGATAACTCATTATAAGAGTTTGTTTGCAAATTACTTATGAAATACTAGCAAAAGTTATCAATTATTTAGTTTATATATTCTATACATAGAGTGTATTCATGAATAAATGAATAGTCGCTGAAAATGAAGGCCAATCGCAACGAACAAAAGCCGGGAAACGGGAGGACAGGCTATGAATTGAATTATGTTTGGGTTCTGTATTAATTCAACTCTATATTCATAATAATAATAAACTCATAGAAATAGTAATCAAAAAAATATTAATAATATTATCGACTCATGAAAGCAAGTAATCAACGAATACGTCAAGAAATACACAAACACTGTAAATGGGAAGCAATAGACAATACCGTTTGGAGGGATGTCATAAAAAGCATGTCCACTATCATCGACACAATTGGCTTCATTAGCGGTACTACAGCCCTGACTGGCAACCAGTGAGCGGTAATCAGAGGTATGGCTGGACCGGTGGTCAGGGGTTTGGTAATCAAAGTCGGAGCGATAATAGGAGGCCGGGGGAGACCTCGACAACTGATCGCGACCACCAATACCGCAGTCATCATCGTCGTCGTCAAAGTGGTAAATACTGTGATCAATGGGTTCGGTGTTCGCGCGCTTAATATAGGGTCGCATTGAGCCGATGGACGTCACGTAAGAGGCCGTCCACTTGGCCGCCGACCGCAGGTATTTCGACGCGCGGTCGTGGATGCGATCCATACCCCCAATCGCCTCACCACTGACCCAACTCAACGCAAACTCATTTACAAATAAATTTCCATAAAACTTAATAAAAATTATATCAAATTTTGTGTTAAATCCACTTAATATTCACATAAATATTTCAATAAATAAATATATATTTTGTTCATTATTTGCGAAGTGTTTCACAACAACACGAGAGTATCATTTCTGAATAGAGAGACAGACAGAGAATATTATATAAGATATTATTTATTATATTATATAACATGTAAAAAACAATTTGATATTTTGTTATAATAATCAATACGTTATGACAAATGATATCTCAGTCGACGGCAACTAAGACTTACGTTTAATATTTGCATAAAAATACATCAAAACCAATAACTATAATAAGAAATTCACAACAAAATTAACTGCATTTGGTAGTCAACGACCAACAAAAAGCACTCAATTATTGCGATACTGATAGTCATTATTAGGACTTGAGAGCAAATGATAGTTTAATTTGGAGGACGTGTTAGAAAATGACATGAAAGCACAGAATATTGGCATCAAATTATGGGCACCAGTAGTACACTACTCATATAGGAAATGGGTTTACCATTCCAGTGGAACTCATAATATTTCGAGTCAGTTATGTATCAGTCAGTCAGCCCGCAGAGTACTCAATGACGAAACGGCATAATAAACACTACAATACCAGCAAAACAGTCAAAAAAAATTCTCATCCAAACCAATGGTGAGACTATGGATCGAGAGTCAGCTTTGAGAGCCATACCAGTGCTGCACAATCGCAATCGGCTACCAGTGCTCGCGGTATATAGCGGTTAAGACTTAAAAAATTGATCAAAAGCTTGTGATTACGGCCAATACG